ATGTGCTCTTCGGTTTTATAAATGATTCTATATTTCTGTGTGTTTTTGTGTACATCAAAAAAAAAAAATTGGCCAGCAGTGTGGAGTGACCTGGGGACTCTTGGGCCCCGAATCAGTGGCGTGGCCACAGAGGACTAGAGTGGAGAGTTAAGCTACCAGCTGATAGTAAAAGTGGGCATATGCACAAGAACACCCACACTTGCAGATGGTACCCACTTGACCTGGCCCAGATGACTGGATGATCAGAGCTCAACCAGGAGAAGAAATAAGAGGAAAATAAGAGTGATCTGATACAATTGGATGAACTTGACCTACACCTATGGATGCAGTAACTCAAAAGAGGGAACAAATCCTTACAGCAAGAAACATTCCAACCCCCTCCACACACAGAGTCGACATAGAGGGCAACTTGGACATTGGATACCCAAATTTGGGGGGGGGGGGGAGTGCGGGATACAAAGGCAAGAAGTGACTGGCTTACAAGCTTTCAAGAGGGAACCTAGAGCCAGGGGGCATGGAGGAAGGCAGAATCTCCAGTGAATACTATCCAATCTGTCTAGGCAGAGCTGATAAAATGAAATGCAGATGGGTCACTTGTGATACAATAATTGTTATCAGGACTGATTGTGAGGGTTGGAAATGTAAAGGTAGATGTTTTATAGTGAAGGGAGTGATTAACTTTTCAGTCTAGGAGTGGAGGTCCCTAGGACCATCAAGGGAGAAGAGCAGAGAGCGGGACCCTACCCAGAGAAGCAGTGATGCCTGAAATGGAGGCAGAGATGATGACGTGGAGTGATGGAGCGATGGAGCAGCTGGAGACTTTAGATCCAGAGAGGGAGAGTGACTGTGTGCTTAAGACCTGGGGGAAGGATTGCATGTATCATCAACCCTTTGGTTGGTTGATGATACATGGAGGGGATTGTAACCATGGCAATGAGACGATACACAATAGAATGAATGTAAAACTAATGTTCTTTCATGTAAACTATCACATAATTCACAATAAAACATTTAAGAAAAAAAAAAAACACAAAACATCACCCACCCACCCCCAAATAAAAGAGTTAATGTGAATAGAGCTAAATGCCGCTAACGGTTGGTACATGGAGGGGATTGCACCCATGTAGAGAAGCAGTGTGTGGGGTTTGTTGATTGTAAAACTGATGATCTGCTCTGTAAACTTGCACTCAATTCACAATAAAAAGTTAAAATAACAACTGGGAGAATGGTGCAGGACCCTGCAATGTTTTGTTGTTATGCACAGCGTCACTATGACTCGGTACTAATTCCAGGGCACCTAACAACAAAATTTATAGGCACTTAGAACAATCAAGTATGTGCTTTTTGAGCACATGCTCAGTCTCGAGCACTTCAAGTACATTGTTGGCAATGAAGGCACTTGGAAATTAAAGCCTTCAATTTTCTTATATGACATCAAGTGCTAGACCACAATTTGAACCCAAGTCTGGTTCCAGTGACCCGCTACAGGATACTGGGAATGATAAGCTTTTGGTGGAATGTGGTGTGGACCTGATAAGGCAGAAGGTTTGGCATACTACAAAGTCATTCTCGATGATGAGTTTTGCTCTACGTTATTAGCGATTAGAGAGCTGGCAGCTCCCGGGCACAGTGGAGTACACTTGAAGACTACGCAAGAATCTGACACACTTCTTCACATGGATGAGCTCAGAGGGCACTGTTGCCATTGAGTCGGTCCCACCCATAGCGACACTGTAGAGGGTTTCTGAGGAGTGGCTGGTGAGCTTGAACCTTGTGGTTCAAACTGACTTTGCAGTCCAGTGCATTAACCCAGAGCCACACCAGCAGTACTGGAGGACCTTATGCTAAGTGACATTAGTCACAAAAGGACAAATACCGTATGAGACCACTATTATAAAAAGTCAAGAAAGGTTTTCATGTTAAAAAAACATTCTTTGATGGTTTCCAGGGGTGAGAGGGAAGGGGAAGTAATTCACTGGCTATGTGGTAGTCGTAAGTGCCATCGAGTCTGTTTAAACTCACGGTGACCATATATACAGTTCCTAGGGAGTAGCTCAGGACAGTGTTTCATTCGGTTGTACACAGGGTCGCTATGAGTCGGTACCGACCTGATGGCACCTAATAGCAACAAGGGAGTGGCTGGTGGGTTTGAACCACCAACCTCGTGGTTAGCAGTCCAGTGTTTATCCTACAGTGCGCCACATCAGGACTCGTGTTAACTTGGGTGAGAGAGAACGCAATATACAAGAGGGAGGTTGGCAGAAAACTAATGAAGACGGGCAGACCCAGGGAGGAGTGCAAGACTTAAAGGGAAGAGAGGTAAATACTGTCATGCACACAGTCCTGTGACAACAGTGATCTACAGGGAGATACATAGGCTCAACAGGTATGGGAGGGAGATCATGAATATACCCACAAATATATAGTTCTGACGAGGATTTTTGTACATGGGTTATTTACCCTGGCTGCAAACAAATCTATGAATGCAGTGGGCAAAATTATGTGAAGTTTTAGACATTTCCAAACATCTTGAGGGAATGAGTTATTGAGCTTGGGGACCAAGGACCATAGTTCTGGGAGTCCTGGTATGGTGTTGTGGGTTAAAGCAGTGGACCAAAAGGTCAGTAGCTCAAATTCAATAGCTGCTCCTTGGAAACCCTATACAACAGGGTTGCTTTGAGTTGGAACTGACTCAACAGCACGTAACAACAAATGGTCAAGTGGCATAACATAGTCCACAAAGAATAATCTACATCCTACTTTTATGAATAATGACTGAAATCTTAGAAGCGCATATGTGGGCATCTAAGGTACAACTCTTGGGTCTCTCCCTGTGCGGAGCAAAGAAGAGAGATGTACCATGTTGAGTAAGGTAGAGGGTCAGAGAAAAAGAGGAAGACCCCCAGTGAGATGGACTGGCAAAGTGGCAGCATCAATGGGCTCAAGTGTGGCAACAATTGTGAGGTTTGGCGGGCAGTGTTTCGTTCCATAGAGCACAGGGTTGCTCGGTGGCACCTAACAACAAACAAAACCTCTATCCACTGCTCTGAAGATCACACTGGAAGGTCCTGGATAGAGTGGGAAGAAACCTGGAAGGAAATTCAAAGGAGCCTAGGAGGCTGCTAAGAGATGAGGTCAGAATGGAAGTGTGTGGGTGGGGGCATGAAATGAGGCCCAGTGAGGAGCCTTTGTAGGATGCCCTAAGGATAACCTGGTAAGCAAGGTGGAACCAAGCTCAGGCAGTGATCTGGGAAAGGTGGTGATGGGGCGGAGTAGTGTAGTAGCAATAGAGGTGTGAGATGTGATAAGATTCTAGATTTCTATCATTTTTTTAAATTATGGAAAATTTCTGGCATGCATGAAAACCAGAGCAATAAACCCCCAGCAACCACAGGTATTAAAGATTGGCCACTCTTATTTCAGCTCTAGACCTGAACACCATCCCTGCCCCTGCTTTCTCCACTGGAGTATTTTGAAGCTAGAGTCTGGAGATATCTTCACGTTGAGTCCCACAGGATTCCCTGAGATGATTAGATGTGGGACGTAAGAAAAAGAGAATGACACCAAGTATGGAAGCCCAAGTGGCTGACATCAACTGAGATGCGAAGGCTGTTGGGGCAGGATTTTGGGGGTGGGGAAAGAGAATACGGTTATTCTTGACACTACACCGACATGCCAACCTCGATGGGATAACCTGGAAGTACTAGGCAATGATTTCTTATCCAATGCTGCTGCTGGGAATGACATAGGGAAGTGGCTCATGTGGTGTCAGTTAGGCTACACTGCACCTGGTTACAAACTTGCTATTTCTTTATTCAATCAAGTATTATCTGTACAATGCATAGATGACAGCATGTGCCTGCTGTTTCTTTGGTCCATAAAGTATTACCTACACAACACAGAGAGGATAGCAGCCTGTGTCTAAAACAGAACTACTGCGATACAGCCGAGATCATAACCTTGTAACTGGAAGTGTTGGACAGAAACCCATGTGATTTTGGCCTACCCACCCACTCCAACTCATAGCAACCGTACAGGACAGATGAGAACGCCCCATAAGGGTTCCAGGATTGTCGTCTTTATGGAAACAGATTGCCGTATCTTTTCTCCTAAGGAGCAGCTGATGGGTTTGCCCTTTTGGTTAGCAACAGATCGCTTAACCACTGTGCCACCAAGGGTCCTTAATTTTGGTGTAGTAAAATGTTGTAATGTATACCATAAGTCTGAAATCAGTTCTGCTGAGTTCACTATCACCCACCCACTCCTACCAGATAATCATTATTTGCTGCCTTTGGTAAACACTACAATGAAAATAGCTACTGTTAACAGACAAGACAATGTAACCAGCAGATAAACTCTAGTAGGCATACAAAGCTTCTTTTAAAGAGCCATTATTTCCAGAATTTTTATACTAAAGAATTGAAAAAAAATTTTTTTTAATTTATTTATTTCTATTTAAAAGGAACAATCAACAAAGGTTCACCTGGCACAAGTGGATCAACTCAGTTAATAGGACAGAAACACTACACTCGCATTATTAGTCGAGGACACTGAATCCGGGACACAGCCAAACCCCTTCAGCGCTGCCACTGATAGGAAAACTCACTGCTTCTCAGCAAAACACGGTGTATAACGAATAGGATCCAATCACTTCTGGTCTTGCGTGAATATATAAAAAATTAAAATAACCAATTTACAAAACTAATGTATCTTCTCTTTAAATGTTTCATACAGATACAACTTCAATTATTTCCTTTCATTAGTGGCTTGGTTTCAGAGACTTTTCATTCACAAGTCAAACCACAACCCATCCACAGAGAATCAATAGCCTCTAGGCTTATAGTGCAAATAAAGAGTTCGGAACTGCAACAAACATTTCTAACATACAAAACAGAGATAATTTGGAGAAGGTGCATGCAAGAAGCGTGACTAGAACAGATGATGAGTTTACTGGTGAGCTCCTGGGACTCCAGGTGTTTCCAGACTCTGGCACTCTCGTCTTAGGCTTTGTACTTTGCTTTTCCAGTTTCACTAATGACACACACGTGCTAAAAACAAGGAAAATCCAGAAATGTGTGTTATAAAAGCGTACTCTGAAATGACCAGCAAGAACAGCAATAAGCAAAGAGTAGTGGTTGGGTACTTTAGGTTATTACTTCAATGGGGTATTGCAGAGACTGCTTTAAAAACCAAAGTAGCAGTTTGTCACTTTAGTTTGACATTGTTTTCTTCTCTTTCAATATTTCATTTTGAGTAACAAAGCAGGCAGGAGATGTTAAAGTATATCAAAGTGAGGGCTAGGGTAAGGCCTGAAAAAAGATGGGAGTGGAAAACGGCTTCTGCTTGTCCTGCCTGTATACTGTGTTCAGAGATGTGTGCATGGAGCTCCTGCCACCAGGGTTGTTGCTAAATGCCCTGGGGGTAGGGTTTTCAAGAAGCGATTGGCGGGTCTCAACCACCAGCCTTGTGGGTAGCAGTCCAGTGTTTCTCCTACAGTGCCACGAAGGTAGGATGTGGGCATTTAGAGGTAAATGCATGGAAACACTTCAGTACACTTATTTCTCACTCATGGCCACATTCATCATCTGAAGCAATAATGGGATAGCTATTCTATATTAAAGTTGTTTAGCTGTTTCAGCCAGCAAGAAGTGTCACCCTAGCCTGGCCAAGTTCCAGTGCTAAGGACATCTGTACTTGACTACAACTTTATGTGACTAATAGGAACCGTGGACTGTTCAAATGATGAGGGGCTTCAAAGAGAAAACAATTGCTCTCTCTCCTAAAATTTCCTTTGGGCTTTGAGAAATGAGTGTTATGGGGAAAAACAAAACAAGACGGCAGCAGCAGCAGCAGCAGCAGCAGCATTACTTACATTCAAATCCCTGAAGTATTCATTATAGTCAAGGGCATATCCTACAACAAACTTGTCCGGAATTTCAAAGCCAACAACTAAAAAGGAATCACAACACATCATTTAAGAACAGAAAACATCACTCTCAAATAGAGTAAGTGTCAATGAGCCTACTAAAAATGGTCTCCAAAGGAACAAGGCCATTGGTTACAGATGGTTAAATGATTGACAAAAAAGGAATTCACTTACAGTCTGGTCTATAGCCAACACTTCGAGGAGTCCTTTTCACCAGCAAGCTGTTAATTACAAAATGTGACATGTGACATACGGAGACACTCCAGGACATTAAAACAGAAAACTTGTCTTGCCAAACATGGTTTCATGGGCTTGTAGAGTAAAGACAACCGCCTCTAAGACACAGACTAGGAAGTGGGGTCACGACGATCACAGGAAGGGGCAAGCAAGGAGCCCACCCTCTCTGCATGCGTGCCATCTGGAATGCGAAGTTAGGTGCTGATGGCTTCACTCTAACAGCAGCCTCCACAAAAGGACAACTCAGTCAGCAGGATGGACTCGTGGGTGTGCTAATGAGCAGAGAGAAAGAGATAAGGGCTCCCGGTCCTAAACCCAGTGTTCCCAGTGAACTCCAGCTCATAATGACACCAGAGCGTTTCCAAGGCTGTCATCTGTACGGGAACAGAGTGCCACAGCTTTCTCCCACAGAGCGGCGGGTAGGTCTGAACTACTAACCTTTTGGTTAGAGCCACACGCTTAGCCAATGAGCCACTAGGGCTCCTTGTCGTTAATATCATAACCCCACTGCTTTCACAAGGATTCCAATTCATAGCGACCTTATAGGACAGAGAATTGCCGTCCAGGGAGGGTGGGTTCCTTGCTGTCCTTTCTCTGTGTTCGCTGATCCCACTTCCTAGTCTGTCTCTGGGTGCGTTAAAGATGCCCATTGTACTCTATAAGCCGATAAAAGCGTGGCAGTAATCTTTATAGGAGCAGAGTGCCACAGTAATCGCCCATGGACTGGCTGGTGGGGTTGAACTGCTGACCTTTTTGGTTAGCAGCCAAGCACTGTAAACCACTGTGCCAGTAGAGGTTCTGCTCTCAGTTTGAATCCCTGGAAATACAATTTCTGAACCAAACCAGGATCGGAGAGGTGAGCATCCCTATTCATGCAAACTTTGCATACTTGCTTGCTTTAGGCCAAAAAATTAACAAGCTGGCTAAAGGAACTGGCATTGCTTTCTGTGAGCTAAAGATACAGGTGAGACGAGCCAACTCCACCAAAAGAAAATTCTGCGACTCAAATGGTACCTGTTGACAACGTTTTCAGTTAATAAAAACAAAAAATTACCAAAAATTCAGCTGGCTAATTTTAAAAATACATTTTCTCACACGTCTTTTGAAAACCTTTACAAATGTTAAGGACTGTTTCAACGAAACTTAAAACTTCACATCTTCCCACATAATGCACAGTATTGGAAGAACTGGAAAAGGTCCAAAGTGATTTTCTACTTTGGTTGCCAATCAAAATTATCTGGGGAGTTTTAAAAAGCAAACCAACACCAGGCCACACCCCTGACCAATGACATCACAATCTCTGGTGGGAGGACATAGAGGTTGGTATTTTTTAAAGTCCCAAGTGATTCCCATGTGCAGCCACCGTTTCAAACCACTGGCCTAGGTGTTAGGACTGAAGAGATCATTTAAAGAAGTCCCTCATAACTCCCTTCCAGTCACTAGCTATAGGATACAACTGATCTCAATGAGTCAGTCCCCAGGGAACCAATGAATGAGTTATGGACAAAGTGTTTGCCCTTTAATGCTAGTAAATGTGCCTTGACTTCGAAACAAGTGAACCCCTACACCTCACAAATTCTTCACCACAATCACCTTCACTTGTAGCACGTATAGCTTTTAAATAATTTTAAATAATTGAAAAAACTTCCAGTTTTTCTTAAATGAAGTTAAAGCTAAACAAAAATCACATGCACCTTGTTTTGCTGTTAGGTGCCAGTGAGTAACCCTAAGCACAATACAACACAACGAAACACTGCCTAGTCTGTGCAATCATCTCAGAGTTGTTGCCGTCACTGTGCCAATACATCTCTTGGGGAGGGGGGGTTCTTCCTCTTTTTCGCTGAACCTCCACTTTATCAAGCATAATGTCCTCCTCCAGAGACTGGTCCCCCCTGACATATCCGAAGAATGAAAAATAAAGTCCCACTATCCTGGCTTCCAAGGACCATTCTGGCTGTACCATCAGTATTCTCTTCCAACACCGTGACTCAATGCATCCATTCCTCTCGGTCTTCCTTATTCACTATCCAGCTTTCAAATGCATATGAGGCAATTGAAAATACCATGGGCACCTGCTCTGACTGACCTAGAAATTCTACTGAAAGGCATAGATCACATTCATAACACAGGAACTACCTGTAAGCCAAACACATCACAGCTTCTATTCCCAAAAAACAAAACAAAACCTTCCTCTGTACTAAACAGGTTCAGGGGAATACAGCATCTCATACATGTATGGATCTGAGGTTTAGTAAAGCTCCATCTGTAAGGCATGGTTTTAGTTGGTTTCCCCATACTTTACATGGGTTACTACTCCCAAGATCTGCAAATGCCCAGTAAGCACATGATAGATGCTGAACATAATTAGTCCCTGTTGCTGTTGTTAAGCGCCATTGAGCAGGTTCTAACTCTGACTCTGCTGGGTTTGAACTGCTGGCCTTGAGGTTAGCAGTTCAGTGCTCTACAGCGCCACTTCAGGACTCATCAGGGAAATATAAACCCAAACCACAATGAGATACCACATTACCTCCATTAAGATAGCCTGTATCAGAAAAGCAGAAAATAACAGGTGTTGGTGAGGATGCAGAAAACCTGGAACCCTCAGACACTGCTGCTGTGATTGCGAAAGCATGCAGCCACTGTGGGAAACAGTTGGTGGCTCCTCAACAAGGCCAACACAGAACTGCCACATCTCAGCAATTTACTCCTAGCTAGCTAGCCAAGAGAACTGAGAGCAGCTGTTCAAATGGAAATTGCACCTGAATGTTCACAGTGGTACTATCAGCCCAAGGGGAGGCAAGCTAAGTGTCCATCACCCGATGAGTGGAGAAATGGGGTACAGCCATACAGTGGACTCCAAACAGCCAAAGGAATGCAACTATTCTTACCTGTACAATTCAGACACTGATTACCTTCTTCGAGGTATACAACCATTCTTCCTCTCCTTTTCTGAGTCCTCCCTCCCTCACTACACCCCAAGTTCCCTTAGCTAACGTTTCCAGTTGTTGCTGTCAATCTCAGCCTCTATAGTTTTAAAAAGAGGATCCCTTTTTTTTTTTTTTTTAACTAGTTAAACTAAAGTGTTATTTGATTTTAATAAGATTACATAGAGAGTATTTTTGGTTGAAGGTTTAAAGACGATCTCAGGGCAATAGTTTCATAGCTTCATCACCTGCCATGGCTCCAGAAAGTCCAAGAGACTTTGAAAATCTGTTCTCCATTTTCCTCCCTCTGATTAGAATTCTTCTATACATCCTACAGCGTGGTGGCTCTGTAAGATGCGCACCAGTCTGCGAACCACAACTGATGGGCAGTTCAAGCCCATCAGAAGCTTTGCAGGACAAAGATAAGGCCTTCTGTTCCAGCAGAGATTTACAGTCCTGGAAATCTTATACAGGGCTGCTAAGAGTTGGAACTGAGTCAATGGCACATAACAACTACTACATGGAATGCTTGATCAAAACGATAGCTGGGCACCATCCAGTTTTTCTGGACTTAGGGGCAAACGAGGCACTTGTTCATGGAGGCTATTAGCCACACTTTCCAGATCTTCCTTCTATTCTTGACTCTCCTCCTCTGCTGCTCCAGGGGAATAGAGACAATTGTGTCTTGGGTGGCTGCGTGCAAGCTAAGACCCCAGGCACGACACCATGAACTAGGGGGGAAACAGGAACACTAAACACGTTATTAGGCCAGTAACAGATGTCCCATCAAACCATGAGCTTAAACCCCCACTCCAACCAAAGCAAGCAACCAAATCCTGCAGTGTTGGCTCTTCTTTTGTTTCTATTGTGGCCACTGTCGCTGTAACTATGAGGGGGTTTCAAAAAGTTTGTGGGAAAGTGGAACTAAAAGCTAATGGATCTAGAAAGTGCTGACAGCAGAGGCGGTGGCATGGAGAGACAGAACAGCTGCAGGCTCAAGACCTATGGACTGAGTAAGGTGGTGTGCCTGTAGGCAAGAGGCTGGCTTGCAGAAAGTGCCCTTTGGACATTTAAATGGATATACATTTTTGTGTTTTATGTACATCCATTTTTTTTGGGGGGGGGCTTTGTTCATTTGTGAAATATAAGATGCAAAAGGGAAGCCACAGTGAGGAAGTGGGATAACTGTTGCTGCGGGGATGGGGGTGGGGGATCATTGAGATGAGACAGAGTGTAGAATTTATGGAATGTGAAGTTGATGATCTTGTCTGTAAACCTTCACTTAATTCACAATAAAAGCTTTCGGAAGAAAAAAGATAATGGAGTTGCCTCGCGACCTCACACACGTGCCAGTTCAGCCTTTGACAGGAGCCCTCCTTTCAGAGCAGTTACAATGATTAGTTGTACAACCACACTCTCTGTGAATGCGTGTGTGTTCCTGTCATTGTAGACTCCCCCTTTCCCCTCCCCCTCCTACTCCTGGCCCAGTTTGGTTTGACTTTGGTCTTAACAGTCAGTCAGTTTTCATTTCTCTAAGCTAAAAGGCCCAGGAGGGCCATGTGGTACTATGGTAGCGGAATGTTTCCTTTCATAATAAACTGACAAATTGTTCTCCAGAGTGGCTGTTCTATGCTATCCTCACAACTGTTGCTATGTTTGAGCCCACTGTTGGTACCATTGTATCAATCCATCTCACTGGGAATCCTCCTCTTTTCCACTGACCCTCCACTTTTACAAACTTAATGTCCTTCTCCAGAGACTGGTCCCTTGTAATCATATGCACAAAGTGTAAGACACGAAGTCTGGCCATCCGAGTTTCTATGGAGCCTTCTGGCTGTACTTCTTCCAACACACAATCCATGGTACTTTTAATAGGCTCCTCCAATACCCTAACTCAAATGCATTCATTATTCTGTGCTCTTCCTTATCCACTGTCCAACTTTCACATGCATATGAGGTTACTGAAAAAAACATGACTTGGGTCAGGTGTATCTTAGTCCTCAAACATAACTTTGCTTTATAATACTTTAAACAGCTTTTATTTTAATTTACCCATTTTGTTGTTGTTGTTGTGAAGCACCGTTGAGTCGGTTCTGAACCATAGCAACCCTATATAGGGATTCCGAGGAGCCGCTGGTGAGCTTAAACCACCAACCCTGCAGTTCAAATGGCTTTGCAGTCTGGCACTTTAACCCACAGCGCCGCACCAGGACTCCAATTACCCACAGCTACCTGGAGAGTCTCCTATGTTTTATTCAACAAGTTTTATAGGGTTACACCTTATAAATAAGGAGCCCTGGCAGCCTAGTGGGTTATGAGTTGGGCTGCTAAAAATAAGCTCAGCAGTTCAAGTCTACCAAGACCTCCATGGAAGAAAAGATAAGGCTTCTGCTTCCTTATAAGATTTATACTCTTGGAAGCCCTCGACAGGGACCCTGTGAATTGGAACTGACTCAATGGCACATAATCACCACCATCATCATCTTGGAATTAGATCTAAAAGTTTAAGATGTTTCTATGTACATTTTTTGTGCATATGAATGTCCAATTGTTCCATCGCAGTTCGTTCAAATAACCAGCCTTTATCCATTGCTTTCACTCCACTGCCAAGGTCCCCTAACTACATATGTGTGGGTCCAGTTGTGAACTATTATGATCCACTAACGTCTGATATCCTTTCGCCACCATCACAGAATGATGATGACTATAGTTGTAGAAAGCCCAAAGCAAACCCACTGCAATCGAGTCCCTAAAATTAAGGATAAACACAGGTAGAATAAGGTAAAAGCCAGCAGTACAGATAAGACTAGGAGGTAAGGCTAGTTTAGAAGGAAAGAAGGAAAACTGCAACGTGGACGCAAGAGTTGGCGTATCACACAACCAACTTCCGGAATCCTTAGTCTCTCTCATTTTTGTGTTATTTTTGTTGTTGTTATTGTAAAGACATATTAACACAACATTTACTTGGTCTCAATTTTGCTCACCAAATCACACTCACTGTCACTAATTCTGACTCATCCAAGGCTGCAAAAATCTTTACAGAAGTCTGTTGCCACATCATTCTCCCTGGAGTGATCCAGCCACCTCTCAGTTAGCGGTCCCACGTTTAATGCACAGTGCCACCAGGCCTCAGGTCCCAAATCCTCTGCCACACCACCTGAGACAAGCTGATACAAACAGTGTGCTAAAAGGTCAAATGCTAGTCTCCGCTAACTGCACAATTGTTGACTGAGTCTTGTGGGAGAGCCCCTTTTATTCTGAAGATGCAAGAGTCAAGAACACATGTCCTTACACAAGGAGACGTCACTCAGTCCTCTTTCAAATGAGGGCAATATACTGTTGAAAGGGCACACATACCTTGCGACCTTGACCATCTTTGGATTATACTGCCTGACCAAGGAAAGCAGGGTCTGCATTGTTTTTCCAGTGTCAATTATATCCTGAAAAATCAGAGAAGACATGTGAACGGCACACATGTAAACCAGCAAACTTTCAATTCAGGGTTACAGGTAAACAGTTTCACCGGAGCTACGTGGTTTGTCAGTGCTTAATGCTCACCACAATTTCAACATCGAGCCAGTCTGGTATGGGCACAGTCTCGGGTCCCAGGAGGTAAATGAGAGCAAATCTGAGTACCCACATGCTGGTGTGCACATGTACAGCTTAGGAGTGATGCCCATCAAGTCAAGATCGGAGTTTCCCTCCTCAACTCTGCAGTGCAGGTGGTTAACAGACCACGCTTTGAGAAGCATGTTCGGTACCATCTTAAAAGGGACTCGGTGGTGGTGGTGGTGAAGTGCCGTTGAGTCAGTTCCGACTCTTAGCACAGATCTATGTAGGGTTTCCACCACTGAACTTGCAGTTACAGTTTTCCAGTACTTCTCCTACAGCTCCACACCAGGACCCCAAAAGGAACCCCACTGATTCCAAATATTCCCTAGATAAAATGACTTTCATAACCTATTCAGTGGTTGCGGTGGGGAAAGACCAAACCCACTGCCAATGAGTGGATTTTGGCTCACAGTAAACCTACTGGACAGAAAATTGCTCCATAGGGCTTCCGACACTGTCAATCTTTTGTGGGAGCACACAGTGGAATGGCTGGTAGGTTTGAACTGCTGACCTTGAGGCTAGTAGCCCAACACTTTACCAACTGCACCCCTAGGGCTCCTTATTATTTAAGACGAACCCCCATCTCTAACATGCCCCTTTTCTGCATGGAGAAGTGTGGACAATACAGTGGGCACGGCACTCACAGAGGGGCACCCAGACTCAAAGGGGGCACCCTGATCCACAGGCTCTTCCGGGCCCATGCTAATGCCATGGCATATGGGGCATAGGGTGGACTGTGTTTGGCAAGGTTATGTGAAACTGAAAGAACTTGGACCTAAGAGCTTCTGGCAGAGAACACTAGCTAGTAATTCTTTTCAACCTTTGCTACCCAAGTCATCTCCCCAGCATATTCTGTAAGAACTGCTGAAAACACACCATTAACTAACCAAAAGAACTGACACCATCTTTCCAAATCCTATGATACAAACAGCTATACGAATGGGATTCCGTTTCAAGGATGTTAAGGAAACAATGGAGAAGTCCTACTTCACTGCAGAAAGTGGTCTCCAACCAAAGCTGGTGGCATCAAGCCAAACAGTTTCATGGCCATGTAAAAGCCTTCCAAAGGGAGGGCAAAACTAAGACATTTCCAGATAAAGAAAAGCCTAAGGAGTTCACTGCGACAAAACCTGCCCTACAAGAAACGCTAACGGGCATCCTTCAGGTAGAAATGAAAGAACACTAGACAGTGGCTTGAAACCATGAGGAAAAATGAAAATCTCCAGTAAAGGTTATTAGTCACACAGTGGAATGTTATACAGCAGTCAAAATTCATAAATTAGTGTATGTATCTTAAAAACATAATACTGACAGAAAAATACAAGACACAAACAGTATGTGTGGCTATGGCTAGACACATTTCATGCTAAATATCACAATACAATACTGTATCTTTTACTCTGTCGACACACTTTATGTAAAACTATTGAAGAGATACAGTTAAAATGATGTACATCAAACTCATAAGCATTTATTATTGATTATTTAATGTTTTAAGGAAGAATGAACTCAAATATTACATTTAGTACTAACTTTATCTTCAGAGAACACGAGGGGAATAGCAACTAATGTCACAAAACGTGTATAAACTGTTGAATGGAAAACTACTTTGCTCTGTCAACTTTCACCCAAAGAACAACTAAAAAACAAAATTTAAGAAACATTTATGAGCCAATACTACTACTAAAAAGAATGAAAAGCTTTTTAAGTCCCCTCATATATGAAACGGAGTCCTGGTGTGGCACTATAGGATAAGTACTAGACAGAAAGACTAGTTTGAACCTCAAGGTCGGCAGTTCAAACTCACTGGCTGCTCCTTGGAAATGCTATTCAGGGTTGCTGAGTCGCTATCAACGCGATGGCAGTTAACAACAACGTATCACATGACTGGTCTGAAATGCCCCTGAATTGTACACTTAAAAATGCTGACGTTTATGTCATGCAAACTTTACATCAATTAATAAAATAGAGGTGAAAGAAAAACAAAATTGCTCCAATGAAAGGCTGGAAAGAAGGTACTAAAATTGGTCCATTATCCAGTAAAAAACTACAACTAGTAAGTATCCTTCGCACAAGAGCTCCACTCCTTTACAGCACAAGGCCACCAATAGAGGTGACCAAGAAGGACATCTTTCCCTGGCTTGTGTTTAGAACAGCCCACTAAGGGAGGAAGCCATCAGCATAACAGGAAAAGTAAATACAGAACTTACTTCAACAATCAGGACATTCTGGAAAAAAAAAAGAAAACAAAAATCAATACAATGAGTCAGACACTGTTTCCAATTAGAAGTTGAATCACAGCATAACAAACTAAGGAATTATCCGAATTCTTGTTTTAAGATACTTTACTATTATCAAACACGGTTTTAAACAAGTAAGTCACCTGTTGGAATTTAGAATCTTTTAAATCCTTAAAATTTCACCATAATGGAATTCTTAAAACTAAAAATTGACTATATGTTAATTTTTTTTAAAGGCTTTCATTACTTAAACTGGCGGTCTAATCTTGAACGACTTAGGAAGTTTCTCTGGACTTCAGTTTCTCTCCCTTGTAAGAACTATAATTTGTACAACTCCAGAATCATACAGTATCTTGCCATAAGAAATCCATCTACAACTCGTTTTCTAGTGGGCTGAAATGGATCCGTATTTTCTGAATCTCTTCACATTTTTGGACTAAAATGGAAAAACAAAAAACAAAACACAAATGCTTCCTCCTACTATAAACCCTCACCTTAAATTTTTCACTTCAGGATTTTAGAGCTGGAAGGATCATCCAAAAGTGACCTCCGAGTAGAGAAGGGCCCTGTGGTTTCAGCCACTTTTAGGAGCCAGGCAGCATTCTAATCACATACTAATTATAATCGTCATCACAAGAGTCATGTTGTGTTTTTTGTCATCCTCATCCTCTGTCATAGAAGCGGATCGTCAAGTATCTAAATGTTCTTTATACAGGATCCTAAGCCTGTGTTACCGAGGCAGGCCATACCAACTCAACTGGGGTGCAGGAAGGAAATGGAGGTTTTATGAACCTCATCTTGTTTAATCTATTCTTTTTGCATATGCTTTATAATAGACATATTAGCACAGTAATTCATATGGGGGCAAAGAGTATTGCTACACAATCACTGTACCCTTTATTAAACAAAAATGTGAAAATGCAAAGTGATTATTTCCCAAACTCTCTTCCATCAAGCTCTCCGTACTTTTGAGAGTAGTGTTTCCACCTCTCTAAACCCTCCCTGAAGAATTCTGTGTGCTCTGATTTACACCACGTCGAAACTGTCCCTGAAGGGACTCAAATCCTATTCTGAGTCAATGTTCTTTGAGTTTGGGGATCAAAAGGAAGTCTGGAGGGACAAGATCAGGGTTGTAGGGTAGATGGGGTCAAGTTTCCCAATGAAATTCTCCTAGGACAGCCCTTGTTACCCTTGAAGAATAAGTAGGTACATTGTCCTGATTGAAAATTAATTCCTCAAGCCTGTGTCCTTCAAGAAAATCTATCAAGATGACCTCTTCAGAATCCCCAAAACACAGCTGCCATACCCTCCTAAGCTGACAGATCAGATCCCCTGAGAAGAAGCCACTGTTTGGGGTTGGACTTTTTTTTTGAAGGTACCCTTAGTGTGGCGCTGTGGGCTAATGTGTCAGACTGCAAAGTTGTTTGAACTGCAAGGTCAGTGGTTCAAGCTCACCAGCTGCTCCTTGGAAGCCCTATACAGGGTCGCTATGGGTCGGAACTGACTCAACGACACTTAACAGCAGGAAGAAGAAGGCTACTATGACAAGTATATTACTGAGAGAACTTGAGTGCAGCCACCCACTGACCACAAAGACATGCTCAAACATGTTTTGTTTGGAATATACTTGTGTATGTATGAACTAGAATCCTGGTGGCAGTACTTCTTGGTCGCCCCTGGCACTTCTCTGACTCATCCTCAGTGAGGCAGTGCAACGAGTATAAGCAATTAGCAGGAAAACAACTTCTTATTAAAAATGGGGCCCAGGACAGGGGGAGAAAATGTAGGATCAAAAGTGGGGGCAGTCCACAGCAAATGTAACAGAATGAAGTACTATTACCACACCCAACTTTTATCAGATTACAAATCCATTCATGCACACAGAAGCTACGTAGCCATTCAGGTGAATCCCAGTATAGTATAAAGTGCACACATAAAAGAGTTACACATTTTTTGGCTCAAATTGTTGCTCTGCCACCTAACAGTTGTCTGCCCTTTTCTTATCTACAGAGCAGAAATGATGACTCTCTTCATAGATTAAATGAGATATCATAGTAATTAAATGAGATATCATAGTAATAAAGCAACAGCAGCTTATGAAGTTAGTTTCTCTCCTTTTCTCACACAATTAATGTATCCCTTTTCAAAAGACAACGCAAGTTAAAATCTTTAGCACAACTGAATATAGTCATTTAATGGGCCAACAATCTGTTTCACCACCAACTAACTATGTGGTTCTCCACTTTGTCTCGCCCGAGCACACCTGCAGGATGACACAAGCCCACCAGTAACTGGCTCATTGCACACCAGGCAATGGAGATAAGTCTTTGAAAACCAGCAGGGAATCAGGAGTCAGACAAACTGAAGTCTAAACCTGCCTCTGCTACCAAGTAGCTGTACCACCTTACAAATGGTAAACAGAGAGATCAAGTTACCTACCTGAGGTTGCATAGGGAGTCCAGGTAGCATAGTGGGTTATGTGTTGGACTACCAACAGCACGGTTAGCAGTTTGAGTCTACCAGGAGCTTCGTGGGAGAAAGATGAGGCTTTCTGTTCCCGTAAAGATTTACATTCTCAGAAACCCTATACTGGGTCACTCTGAGTCGGAACCGACTCCACAGCACATACTACCACCAGCTGAGGTCATGCAGTTAGGAAGAGCTGAGCTAGTATTTGAATCAGAGTTGTCTAGACTCCAAAATCCAGACCACACTGCTTCACAACCTCTTCGGAAACAATGTGAATCTATTTTTAAAAGAGAGCTAAAACTTCTTCCTCAGCTATATGTTTTTGGGAAGGGTCCCAAATTAGACCCCAAATGAGGCAAGTAGCAGGACTTGGCAATATGGGAATTTTGGGTAATGTTTGATTCCATTGCCTTTCGCTAGGTGACCTAAGGTTAAAGAGCTTGTGTTTAAATGCATATGGGGAGGCTTCATGAAAAAAAAATATATATTAAAAGGTAATGGGGGTTTTCCCACAAATTATTTGAAGTCCCCTCGCACATGGCTCTTTCTGATCCAGCAGAGACTTAGAGCCGTGGAAAGCCTATATAGGGTTAGTAGTTGGAATCAAATCCACGGCAGTGGATTTGGCTAAAAGCACTATGCCATGTAAAGTGGCTCTCAGTGACTGCCTAAAAGACTCTGGGTACAGAGTGCTCACTCTCTAATCCCCATTTCCAGATACATACCTTTCCAGTCAAAGTTGAGAGATCATCTCCACCAATTACTTTGATGTCCCCAGTTGACTGGTCATTCTAGTAAAAACAAAAGAGAAAAATCATATATTGACTTGTGTCTACACCCACAGTTCAAATGATCAGATAGGAATGAGAAGATTAAAGAAGTTAGCTATCTAATGTCCACAGCATTATGACATTTTCTAAATGATATGAATTATAAGAATCAAGTTTCTAGAAATGAATGATTAGGTAACTTGCAGCTAGAGATTAGTATAAATTGAAGAATCTGAATTGACCACTATTGCTCTGGGTGTTTTTCAGTTTGACACATAGGGTACACCCAGTTTCTAGTGGGCAAAGCTCGAGCAGCCCCCATCTTCAGTCACAGTGACTTCTGAACTGTAAGGGAAGTTAGTAGCATGCCAGGTACCTGGTTCTGGCCCTGTACCATTCTCTTGAGTCTAGCAAGTGGCAGGCGCTGGTCAATACCACAGTCAACATCAAGGATTTTTGTTTTTGTTGTTATGTGCCGTGGAGTCAGTTCTGACTCATAACGATCCTGCACAGGGTTTCCGAGGCTGTAAATCTTTACGGGAGCAGACTGCTTCATCTTTCTCCCGCGGAACAGCTGGTAGTTTCGAACTGCTGACCTTGTGGTTTGCAGCCCAATTCGTAACCACTATGCTACCAGAGCTCCTTTGTCCCTCAAAGTCTAGCTGAGACCCAGGTCACCTGCGGCATTGCCGAGAACCTAGGTCTAATTTAAGGCACATCTCATAGGTTCCTAGAGTCCTGGTGTGGCGCTGTGGGTTAATCTGCCAGACTGCAAAGCCTGTATCTGAAATACAAGGTCAGCAGTTCAAGCTCACCAGCTACTCCCCAGAAACCCTATACAGGGTCGCTATGGGTTACAACCAACTTGACAGCACTTAACAACAACAACACAGGTTCCCAGGTTTCTACTATCACAGAATCCAGTAGAAACCCCAAAAGGGAATGCTGAACACCCACTAGAGTTGGTGGTGATAATGACCATAAGTTGACTGTGCAAGATTCAAGACAAAAAAGAGGGGTGAGGGAGCATGTGAAGAAGCTCTGACTCGCACTAACAGAGAGCAAATCCGGGCACACAGCTACGGCAGTTACAATGGAGCCGTACTAGCACGGAACACAGCCCAGAAGCAGACCCAGGAATCAGTGGGTTAGTAGATGGTCAATATGGTATTTTAAGTCAGTAAAAAAACAGATGAATTACTCGATAAATGGTGTTCGGGCAGCTAGTAATCCATTTGAGGGGAAATAAATCACAGTCCCTACCTCACAGCATACAGAAAAAGAATTTCCAGATGGATTTAAATCTAAATATAAAAAATACAACCATAAGCATTCTAGAGGAAAATGTTTTCACATTCTAATTAGAAAAGGTAAAATGTAAGCATGACATGACCCCAAACCGAAAGAAAAGATCTGTCATAAACCCTCCTGTCATCCACTGGGCTCCAACAGTAAGAGCCCACCAGGAAACTGAAGCCTGGACACAGACAGGCAATTGACAGAAGAGAAAGCTACAGCAGCCGAAATGACACCCAGCTACTGTTTACTCATCTGCACTGGCAAATGTAAAGCCTGAGTATGTTGGCGAAAGGGGGGTGTCAGCACTCTCACTGTTGGCAAGAATATAAATTGGTACAACCTGTTCTGAAAATTCTATAGCCACACCTCTTAAAAGTATAAACATGCAGGCCTGCAGACCCAGCAATCCCACTTTGAGGAATTGATGCTACAAAATAAAAAACAACAAAAAATCATGACTATTCACGCTACCAATTATCAAGAAATATTAGAAATAACCAACAGGTCCATTGACAAGAACCATTTTAAATTAATCAAGTTTAGTCATACAAGATGATGCTATGTGGTATTCAAGTTTTTTAATACAGTAATTCAGACTTGGAGCCCTGGTGTGTAAGCGCTGTGGGTTAATGTGTCAGACTGCAAAATCATTTGAACTGCAAGATCGGCGGTTCAAGTTCACCAGCTGCTCCCTGGAAACCCTCTAACAGGGTCGCTATGGGTCAGAACTGACTCGATGGCACTTCACAACAACCATCCAGACTTACTAACATGGAACAATGCCGATTAACAACACCAAGTACAACAATGTGTTGCCTATGAAACCGTTTTTGATCACTACTAAATTATCTGTGAGAGAATGAGGGAAGGTGATGCTTTTTACTTTCATCTATTTCTTTTGTGGTGCAGTAAGATCAGCACTGGACTGTGAACCACAAGGTCAGCAGTTCAAACCTACCAGCTACTCCTCAGAAACCTTATACAGGGTCACTATGAGTCAGAACCGATTCAATGGCACTTAACAATTTTTGATGTTTGTATAGAAATTTCCATTTTTTTATGGAGTGTAATTTTTGTAAAAGCACAAACGGGCCAAGTGTTCAATTTTGCAAACTAAACATAAAATATAGTTAATCAACCCAAGTATTGCTTCTGATTAGAAAAAATCAAAAACCCTGCATATTATTTTTCATCTCCAGTTAAGTAATTACAAAGACCCCTTATTTTAATTAATTTAAAACCCAGAGTTTCACACACAAAGAAAGCTAAATGGTACGTAACCCCTTTCCAAATGCATAAAACCTGAAGCTTTACATAGAAGTCATGCTAAACATGCTAAATGGCGACATCTTCTGTAGACACTTGGTATTGCAGTCCAACTGCAATGGACAGTTTATATAAGAGGAAGAGAAAAAGTAAACATTTGAGAGCTGCCTAGAGTGGAGTCATGACTCGTTGGCACTTAACAACAACAACAACAAAGAGTGGAGTCATGGGAAACCCCTCCTGTAACCACAGGGCTCTGGTGACAGGATAAGAGTTGTAAGAGAACTCCATGCACGCAAAGCATTGCTACTCTTGTTGTTGTATGCCGTGGAGTCTGTTCCAACTCAGAGTGACCCTTTATAGGAATTCCGAGGCTATAAATTTTTATGGGAACAGAAAGCCTCATCTTTCTCCCGCGGAACCACTGATAGTGTCGAACTGCTGACCTTGAGGTTAGCAGCACAACTCATAACACTACACTACCAGAGCTCCTTGCTCTCACCCAAATTCCCATGTTGTTTACACCTCCAAGTTTTTGTCTAAGTCTCTTAAGAGGGCTTTTTTTCCATCGAAACCTTTTACTAATTGAAGGTTAACAAGGACAGTGAATATCAGAGAAAGGAAACAAGACTCACAAGGAGAAAGTGGGATAAACAATGTTACATGGAGGGGACTGCATCGTTGAAATTAAAAGTATATGATTTGCTGAATATAAAACTGGTGATCTACTCAGTAAACCTTTACTCAATTACCAATAAAACAAGTTTCCAAAAAAAGAGTAATGGTATATATTACTGAACATTTTGACCGAACACTCCTGATCAAAAAGGGGGGGAACTGTAGAACAGATTTTCAAATCCTCATGACATCCAGACTTCTGGAGCCATGGAGTCTGGATGAACTCCTCAAACGACTGCCCTGAGATCATCTTTAAACTGTAAACCAAAAACAGCTCCTACAGTCATATTAAAACCAAACAACCGTTTAGCTTTACTAGGGAACAAAAAAGGTTTGTCTTGAGCATTGTGCTCGTCTAAGAACTATGTACATGGGATCACTAGAAAGGAAGCTGTATGCAAATGGGGAAGCAAAAACTTAGGGAGGAAGAGGGAGAATAGTTGCATGACGTGTCACTGAACTGTACACATGGAAACTGTTGGATTGGTATATGTTCTTCCGTGTATACTCTCAACAACAGCAACAAAATCATTTTTTTTAAGTAATGATACTGTTTACTATGCTGGCATACGGAAGTACCCAACATGAATACAAATGGCATCTGTGGCTCAGTATCCCAGCTGGAACAAACACATGGGCAGAGGTCACAGAAGAGGAAGTCGAGAGGCGGACCTCCAATGCTGGGTCCTCAAGTGGGTGCAACTGGGCATATTACTGATGCCAGAGGTTCTGGGAGCGTAGTGGTTATGAGTCGGGCTGCTAACCTCAAGGCCAGCAGTTCAAAAGTGCCAGCCTTCCACAAGAGAAAGATAAGGCTTTCTGCTCCCACAAAGATTTAGCCTCAGAAACTCTATGCAGGGTCGCTATGAGTCAGAACCGATTCCACAGCACATAACCACCTCCACCACCATTCCCTCTACTTCCAGTAAAGTGCCAAAGTCGACCACACTCAGTTTCCCTTTACATCACAACTCTCTGCCCTTTATCTGTTTTCCTGTACCCTCATCAATTATCAGCAAAAGTGAGGCTATCACAATGACGGATATTGGGAGACAGACCACACCCCAGAATAAGATGGAGAAGACACCCTATTTTCTAAAATACAAAATTAAGGGGAGCTGTACAAAGTTTGTGGAAAATGGAATTAAAAGACAATGGAATTTCTCCTGCATTAAGACCGTTATTGTAAAAGCTTAATTAAAGATGCCCGTACTAAAAGGGAGGGGGAAATATTTTTTTTCATCTGTTGGTTACCAAGAGTGGGAGGGAAGGAAGAGTTGACTGAGGAAGGAGAGGGCAATACCCAAGTAGGAGGAGGGGCATGGAAGAACAAGGAAGATAGGAGAATACGTAGGAAGGTTTGCATAGGCTAAATGGGACAGAAGTAAATAGGGATGTATGCTCAACCTTGGAAGATCATGGCTCTGTGATACAGGGATCAAAGCATAATCTGGATGGGTAAAAGAGAAATAAATAATGTTAAGGTGATAGACTGCATTATGGATGTTGGTTTCCCTGGCCTACTAATGTAAAATAGACGATTGAGTGGAGTAGAAGGGAATAAATATTCGGAAACAGGATTATAGAAAGCTTGTAAGTCCGTTTCCGTTTATAATGGATTGGAATACCTAAGAGGAGTTCCAGAGCATGCCTAGTGAAATAGGCTTCTTGTGGAGCCTTTGTAGAGTATGGGACCTTGGATGGAATCCTGAAGCCCATATAGAACCTTCTGAGGTGGGACATTCCTATTTGAAAGGACATGCAGACCAACTCAAAGTGGCTAGAAGAACAAAAGATACTTCCTGAAAGAAAATCAGCAAGTAAAGAGAAGAAAGGAAGGGGAAAGAAAAAGAAAAAGCAGACCAAGAGCCATCAAGTCCCTTCAGGCCAAGCCCCCTTCTAAGACTGAAACTCAAAGGAAACACATAAGCAAGCTTATAAGCTACTTGTGAGTGGAAATGGGGGAAAGACAGTAATGAAGACATGGGCTGAGCTTGACCATGTTCCATGGACTTCTGTCGACCTTGAAATGAGAGAGGAGGAAGGTCCAAAGTTTGGGGAGACTAGGGAGCCACTGAGCCCACGGACACTGACCTGGCCACTGGAAGGGCTGGCGCTCAGAGTGAATTGCTCAGCTGATATGAAGTGGGGGGAGGTGCACAGGAATGCCCAAGCTTACAGACAGTACCTATTGACCTAGCTTGGATGGCTTGATGATCAGAACTCGACTAGAAGAAGATAAAGAAATTTGATACAGGAAGCAAGTGTAAACTGCTACACTTTGATGAACTTGACCATATCTTATCGATGCAGTAGCTCAAAATACCAACTGAAAGGGAAGGGTTTTCACATCAAGGATTAAGCCTATTCCCTTTGTATATAGGGTTGATGGGGACGGGCAACTTAGACACTGGTTACCTAAAATGGGGGGGGGGGGAATAAAGGCATGAAGTGACTGGTTTACAAGTTCTCAAGAGGGAGTATAGTTTCAGAGTGTGCAGGGCAAGGTAGAATCCCTACTGAATCGTTTTCATCTTGTCTAGACAGGTCTGGTGAAAAAAGATGGAGATAGGATTCTTTTGATTCAATAGTAATTGTTATCATGATTAATTGTGATAGTCACAACAGTTAAGGTAGAAGTTTCATAACATAAAGTGGGGAGTAGTTAATCTGACAGTCCAGAAACAGAGGACCCAAGGACCATCAAGGGAGAAGAAAGAGCATGAAAGGAGTGTGGGACCCTATCCAGAGAAGCAGCGACACCAGAGATGGAGGCAGAGATGAGGACATGGAGAGAGAGAGAGTAGCTGAGTCCTCATGGAAAGAGAGGGACTGAGTGCTGGTGGCCAGGAGGCAGACTTGCAAAATGTGCCCTTTCTTTAAATGATCATATATTCCTGAGTGGTTTTGAGTACATTCAAAAAAAAGGAATTTTTCCACAAACTTTTTTGAAGCCTCTCCATATACTGATTATGAAAAGAAAATAAATCTGGAGGTTATACTTGTCCTGAGATCATTTTGGAGTTCTGGTGTGGCGCTGTAAGATAAGCACTGAACTGCTAACCACAAGGTTGACAGTTCAAATCCATCAGCTACTCCTCAGAAACCTGGTATAAAGTCACTATGAGCCGGAACCAACTCGAAGGCACTTAACAACAACAAAGTAATTTTACTTACCTGTATTTTTATGAACTCTTTTAAATGAACATGTTGCCTTTTTTAAAAAAAAAAACAAAAGGTCATCTTCAGCTTAACAAAGGGATGCTGATGAAGCAAGACCCAGGCAGCTCATGGAATCCTCCACTGTCCGATAGGTAGTCCAGTTACTTGTGGCAGTTAAGACTTAAATTACTTCAAATTCACAATTCAGTTCCTCAGTTGCACAAAACACATTTCAAGTGCTTTAGAGCCACAGGTGGCTAGTGGAGCTGTGTTAGCACATACATGAAACAATGCCAGCCTCACTGCAGATTCTGTTGAAGCTCACTGCTCCAGTCAAGTCAAAGATACCAGGACTAGAAAAGATGGAAGACTTTCTGCTGATACTTAATACCTAGTGTTTTCCAAAGAAAAAAACAGAAGCCAGTCTTAAAATCAGTGCTGTATAGATCTGTTTGGTTCTGACTCACAGAGACCCTGTATAGGGTTTCCAAGGAGCAGCTGGTGGGTTAGAACTTTAGGTTAGCAGTCCAGTGTTTATCCTACGTGATATTTGGAAAACCCAGGAATCTCTCATTCACGCACTAAACAAATAAAGTCCTGCACTGCTACTCTGATCAAAACACACATGCCGTTCCTTTTATTTATACTTGCTGTTGTTAGATGCTGTCAAATCAATTCTGACTCATAGAGGACATGGTTTCTGAGGAGCAGCTGGTGGGGCTAGAGCCCCCAAACACCTTGTGTTTAGCAGTCCAGGCAATTTTTATTTTGACGGCAAAACCAGATGGAGTGTGTTGAAGCTTATGGGCCTTTTATACAAATGGGCTTTAAAAAAAAGTTCATGGAAAAATGGAATCAAAAGATAATGGAATTTTTCTGTAACTTTCTGAAGCCCCCTCACATTTCCTGGGAACATTATTAGTTCATGAAGCATTTCTTCAGGATTACTAGTACTAATCAGTCAAGCTGTAATTCAGGTTGATAATTTGGGCAATTTCCAAATTATCAAGATCGGTGTGAAAAACCTACTAATGTCAATATTTCTAACACTAAAAAACTTTAAACTCCCATTTTATGGTTCTAAAACATTAAGCTGCCTAAATTATCTATTTTTAAATTGTTAAATGCCATTAAATCAGTTCCAACTCACAGTGACTCTGTATAGGGTTTCCAAGGAGCAGTTGGTGAGTTTGAACTGCCAGCCTTGTGGTTCATAGTCCAGTGCTGATTCTACATAATTTCTATTGTTTAGCAGTAACTCTACACAGCAATTCACATAAAATACAACATATATCAATTTTTCTAAGTGAAAATTAATCTAAAAATTTTGCTTTGTTTCTGTTTAAAATTGTTTTTTTAATCAGTTGAGTTCAGCTTAGCAATCTCATAGGATATAAAATAGGGGGAAAAAAAAACTAAATGTAGAAAATAGTATGGGAAGTCAATGTCTCTATTGCTCCAAATTGTTTACAACTATAAAATACCTTAAAAAATAAATTATTAAAGTCCCCTCCACCCTATTTTTCAACTAGTTTTTGCTTTTCAAAGAAAGAGCATTCTTTATAAATACAGAGAAGGAATGCAGCATGAACCATAAAGTTTGATGGTGTGTGTGTGGCTCAGACCAGAAGGATAATCCTTACTATGGCCATGCTAAGTACACGTTTCAAGTCTAAGCAACAACACAACAAAAGATCACCATTCGGTCTTCTGCTAGCAGCCTAGTCTACAGCAGCAAAAATAAGTAAAAACATTAAAAAATAAATAGCAAGCTGAATCAAAATTCAAATTCTCTACCTGGACAAGTCAAACAAGACTTGGTCAAGCTAAAAGGAGCTTACAAGTATGAAAAAGTATGAAGCAATGGACGGGCAGAATGGATTATAAAAGGGTAGGAAACCGTCCAAGTGGCTGTTCAGTCCAAATGTGGAACGGGTCAGACTTGGGTCACTCAAATAGAAGATGAATGGACAGAACGAAGGTTGAAAGTCAAATACAGACCAATGGGTTTATTCTCAATAAAAATGTGAACCTAGGGCAAGTTTCTACAAAGATGGGACATGTGGTTATAACACTGACTAATGCAACAGCCAAGGCTGGACATTTATTCTAGTCTCTGAAAAAGAGAGAGGAAGCCAATTATGAAGGCAAATAGCCATTCATCAAAAATACACTTCGAACATGAATAAAAATCAAACCTTTACATGATCACAGATACTGGATGATGAAACCCAGCATGAAGGTCATAGTTTCAGTTTCACTCCACAATATCAATTTTGCTTCTTGTGGCAACATTCTGAAGCATCTGAGATCCCAGCGTCACAGGCAGAAATTGCTGATATGTCAAAAGTGGTTTCCTCAGTGTACTAACATGTTAGGCCCAGCTGTACTTTTTAGAAAACAACTACTGGCCACCTTCTTTATCAGACCTAACTGCAAATGCCCTGTAGGATAAGTAACAGAAAGCTGCTCCATGGGAAGAAGATGAAGCTGTCTGTTCTTGAAGAGTTCTAGTCTCAGAAGCTCAGGACTCAATGGCAGTGGGTTTGGCTTTTTAACTTCTAATGACATATGTCTGACGCCCCACCAAATCAATCTAGCTTCGGAGAGGCTATTTCCACCACTAATATGTACAGCCAAAAAATACCCCCAAGCTGCAATGGCAATTCCTAAAAGGGGATTTCAAAAAAGCAAACATACAAACAATAACAAAGCAATTTTTAAAATACAAGGGGACTTTAAAAAGTTCATGGAAAAATGGAATTAAAAGATATTGGAATTTTTCTAGCAATTGTTGAAGCCCCTCGTAAGGTAACAAACAGCTTCCAAGATGACTAGTTTGCAAAGTACAATATTCATTTCTATTAGTGAATGTCAAATCTCACTGTAAGACATGATGTGGACTTGTATTGTTTGCCGGGCTTCAAAGAAAATACAGGAAAACCTAAAGCTCTCATGTTTTGTTTTGTTTTAAAAACATAATATTAAATGCACTTACACAGTAGCTCTTCAGTCTGATGAAATCTACAGTCATAGGAATGGATCCATCACTATTTCTGTTCAGTGCCTTGATATAATCCAGCAGGTCAGCAAAGAACTTATAGCCCCCCTTGAGCACACAGAGGGCGACAATGTGATGGCCGCCCATCTCTTTCATCACATCTCGAGCAAGCCGCTCGGTCCTAAGGAAACAGAATCAGACATTTAGGAGAAAGCTTCAGACATTTAAACTTTACAATAAATATTCCTTTAAGCAGTAAACTGCCACGAAACACACCTTTTGCCCCCATGAAATGTATATATTCTTGCTGCATAAAATTTGGTGTCTTCAAAATCCAGATACACTATAGCATCCTATCATAAATTTTTATTGCAAATTAAAACTAAGGGATTATTTTCAATATTATACTGGCAAAGTCTGATTAAATGACATTCTCTGATAATACATGATATTAGAGCAACTGCAAAGAAAAGAACACCCCCACACTCCACTGGGAGTATAAAATGATCAAAGATTTTGGAGGTCAATTTGACAGTACCAAAACATTTAACAAATACCTTACCGTCAACACAGAATTCCCACTCTAATAGAGACAAACAAGTTCCTAAACATAAACAAGGATGTTCTCTTAACTATGGTCTAAGAATAAAATAATGAAGAGATTTTGAGTGTCCACCAGTGGCAAGGGGGCTGGTTAAATCAACCATGGTACATCCCTACAATGGAATGCCATGCAGTTACTGGAGTCTTGGTGCGGGGCTATAGGATCAGCACTGGACCACTAACCATAAGCTCCTTGGAAACCCTATACAGCGTTGCTGAGTCGGAACGGACTCGATGGCACTGAACGACTATAATTAATGCGGTAGATCTAGATGTACTACTGTGAAAGATAATACTCCATTTTAGAATGAGCTATATGTTGCCATGTACAGGCATTCCCCTGGTTCTGAGCCCCTAACTTATGGACAGCTTCTACATGTCCTTGTTGTTGTTTGTTAACTGCCACTGAATCCGTTCCGACTCATAGCAACCCTGCAGACAGTTTCCAAGGAGCAACTGGTGGTGGGTTTGAACCGCTAATCTTGTGGTTAGCAGTCTAGTACTTGTCCTACCACGCCACACCAGGACTCCTCTACATGCCCTAAGCCTATGCCAATTTGCCCTCAATCTTCAATGAGGCTACTCATACAAATCCTTCACTTATCACATGTGCAGCTTTGAAATCATTAAGCACAAACTAAGGCTAAGTAAGAACCTTATGTACCTGCTCATCTGACCTATAAATTCTTAAGGACACAGTTAGCAGCCAGCCGTTGGCATCTGTAAGCACCACGGGCATGGTCTATGAGCACAGCCAGTGCATAGGGAGGGCAGATGTACAGGAGACAGAGAGCAGACAACTTTAGTTTGCTCTTTTATAACTTTCACAGTTAAAAGTATTTTACAACACACATATTTTGCTCCCATAAAGATTTACAGCCTCGGAAACCCTGTTCAGGGTCGCTATGGGTCGGAACCGACTCGACAGCACTTAACAACAACAATATTTTGATAGTATAATAATTTTAAAATAAAAAACAAAACAAAAATAGTCAGCCACACAAGACAAGACATTCAAATACTTAAGTTTTTCACCATAATCACTTGAGAAAAATGTTCAAGCTAAACATGTGTGATAATCAAAAATCCCACATTGCATTCCTGCAATGCAACCCTGGTCACATGGTCACATTTCCTGTTCAAGATTGCAAAACCAAAGCCTCTGTAGCTAAAGTCCATTCTTCCAATCTCCCTTCAATATTTACTTGACACTCTACAGATGCCCATGTACCTTGATGGAGACTGGGTATTTAGCAAGGCATTTTATGCATATTTGTTAAAAGGGCTTAAACAGAATACAGTTTTATTTTTTAACAAGCTAGCCTGGTTTACTTCAAATAACAACTACTCAAAACAGTTAGTTGCCAACACTTACAATTAATATAAGAGAAACTTCAAAACATCAACTTCAGGTCTTACTAACCTGTCCATAATGACTCCATGAGGAATGAACACCTTCTCCAAATCCTCCACGTAATGATTAGGTATACAAAACAAATCTAGGTCATAGCCAGGCTCATCATCACTAATCTGAAAAAGAAATGGAGCAGCTTCAGTGAAAGGTATTTCAGTGAAAACTACTATGTTTCAGGGATGGATACTTAATAATGTAGATGGCAACCCTATACTGGGAAGTTGGTACCAGGAGAGTAGGGTGGTGCTCTAACAGATACATGAAAGCAATTGGAACTGAGTAATGAGGAGTCCTGGAGTGGCACTATAGGGTAAATGTGCCAGACTGCAAAGCCATTTGAACTGCAAGGTCGGTGGTACAAGCTCACCAGCTGCTCCTTGGAAACCCTCTACAGGGTCGCTATATACAGGGTCACCATGGGTTGGAACCTACTCGACGGCACTTCACAACAACAACAACAACAACGAGCAGAGGCTGGAAGAGTTTTGAGAGAGCCAATACAGAAAGAAAACCTTTCCCTAAATCTGACACGTTGAATTCAGACATCATGCCTCCAAGACTGTGAGAGAATAAAGTTCTGCTTGGTAAAAGCAAAAAACAGAAAAAGGATGTAGATGGCATTTCCTTTAATTCATCAAGGAAAAGAAAAATAATGAAACATTAAGACAAATGGGACAAAATCTGATGTTTTCAATGTGGGTGGAGTATGTGAGGATTCATGATCCTATTCTCTCCACGTTTGAGCAGGTTTGTTGTTGTTGTTGTTGTTAAGTGCCGTGGAGTTGGTTCCGACTCATAGTGACCCTGCACAGGGTTTCCGCGGCTGTAAATCTTTACGGGAGCAGAACGCCTCACCTTTCTCCCACGGAACCGCTGGTAGTTTCAAACTGCTGACCTTGCGGTTCACAGCCCGATTCGTAACCACTACGCTACCAGAGCTCCTTAGTAGGTTTACAAATGTAAAATTATTTCTGAAGACATCATAGTCTTAGTAAGTGAAAATATTACATTCAATTTACCAGTAAAACCACCGTTATCTGACAGTGGGGAGGAGGTAGAGAGAAAGAGGGTTTATTTAAAAAAAAAAAAAAAAAGATAAATGAGCTTTTAAAAATCCAAACTCCTAGAAGCCTGTGACTGTCAAATCAACTCCATAGTTGACTGAATTGTTGTTAAGCGACGTTGAGTCAGTTCTGACCCATAGCAAATCAGTACTGAGTTCCTAAGGCACAGCTGGTGAGTTTGAGGCATGGACCTTGCAATTCAATCGGACCACGCAGTCGAGTGCTTATCCTATAGCACCACACCAGGACTGAATAGGGCCACCTATTGACTGTCATGAGATCTGCAGTCCCTAGAACATAAAACGGTAAATATTTAATAACATGCAAAGCACACTGAAGGTGTGGTACCCATGGTGGTCAAATGTACTATGTTGTTGTTGTTGCTAAGTGTTGTCGAGTTGGTTCCTACTCTAGCGACCCTGTTTGGGTTTCTAAGGTGCAGCTGGTGGGTTTGAACTGCCGACCTTGTGGATCCAAGTTCGGAGCTGATCCTAAAGCGCCATACCAGGAGTCTGTACGGTTACAATTGTACAACACACCAGAAAAAAGAACTCAACACAATTATAACACAGTGTGCCTACCCTCTAGCCCATGAATTATCCCTCTACCTCATGAATTATCCCTCTACCTGTAACCATCATAGATCGTTTCTTTTATCTAAGCTTTTTGCTTTTATTTTTACACTTTTTACAACATTGGTCTCATATAATATTTGTCCTTTTGTGACTAACTTCATGCATGGGGTCGCTCTGAGTCGGTTCCGACTCGATGGCACCTGACAACAACAACAACAACAACTACAAGACAAATGATCCAATTAAAAATGGGCACAGGACATAAACAGGCACTTCACCAAGGAAGACATTCAGGCAGCCAACAGGCATATGAAGAAATGTTCATAATCATTAGCTATTGGTGGTGGTGATGATGTGCCATGGAGTTGGTACCAACCCACAGTTACCCTGCATAGGGTTTCTGACACTGTAAATCTTTACAGCAGTAGAAAGCCTCATCTTTCTCCTGCGGAATTGTTGGTAGTTTCGAACTACTGACCCTGAGATTAGCAGCCCGATAACTACTACGCTAATGAGACCATCCGTTGTAAAAGCTTAAGAAAAGGTGTTCATACTAAAAGAAACATTATTTGATAGTTACCAGGGGTAGGAAAAAGCAAAGAATAATCCACTGGTTAGAGAGTAGACATATGCTAGCTCAGATGATGGGAAGAGCAATATACAAGAAGAGGGAGGGTGGCAGCAGAATGATGGAAGACAGGTGAAGACACAAGGAGGTATGTATGGACTAAAGGGGATAAATAGTGATATATACACAACCTTGAGTAGATACATGGATTGAAACATAGGCTGAATGGGTAAGGGAGGAAGAGTGATTTTTATATATAATAAAGTTTTATATATAATTTTGTTGTAAGTGCCATCAAGTCTGTTCCAACTTGTAGCCACCCTGTATAAGGTTTCTGGGGAGCACCTGGTGGGTAATAGCCACCCCCAACACTAGCAAGGTAGGCTCCCCATGAAATGGTCAATCACTCAATATCAAAAGGGCAACATTTTCCTAAGGACAAAGCTGAAAAGGGATGGGAGGGAGGGTAGGTGGAATGCCAACAGGAACCCCAAGGAAGAAGCAAGATTAACTTTTGTTGCAGGGAGGAATTGTAGTAACTGAGTGGAAGCAAAGTACATGATTTGTTGATTGTAAAGCTGATGGATGATCTTGCCTGTAAACCTTCACCTCAATTTACAACCAAAAAAAAAGTTAAAAACAGTAAAAAGTGGTGAGCAAATGAGCACGTTCTTTCTCTCCAGATCCACCATTCCCAGTATAGAGGCTAAGAACAAACTCTGGGGGGCAGATAACTTAGGTTCCAATCCTACTACAACTGGGTGATGATAGCAGGCAAGTTACTTAACCTATGTGAACCACACATGGCCATTTCTGGGTTAGCAATAGTTCTCAGAGTTCTTTACCATTTTTCTAGATGGTTTGGAAATATGACTGCATGGCCTCAGAGCTCTAGAACACAACTCTCAGATTCTAATCTTATCTGGAACAGATTAGTCAGTGATAACATCTGCCTGGTCACCTTTATTAATCCACAGGGTTATTGTGAAATATAACATTAATATGCTACCTTTTTGCTTAGAAATTAAAGCCAGCAGTTTGAAAGTTATAAAGTTTTGAAAATATTTTACTTTCTAGCAAAATTGGCATCACAAATACTTAACTGTGTGTGTGACATCTGTAACAATGGCTTTTGTACAGGAACATTTGTGTGGTTTCCACAAAATTCCCAATTACAAAGATGTATCACCAAAAATTACAGCAGACAAGTAAATTAACCTGACTTAAGCCAACACTTGCACTATCAATTCATCATCTGTGACTGGGATTGCTCAACTCTCCTGTGGGCAGAAAAATAACAGGGCTCATGGATTCCAACCCAATGAAATGGAAGTAAGAAAGTGAGTCTTAACAAGCTATGCAAATTAAAAGATGAATACATAAAAAAAGAAAAATGTAGGAATCTATTACCAGCAATCAATCATGTTTCCTGATTTGGGGAATGGGTATAAATTATTAGATGGCATATTTTTTACCTGTTACATTCAGATATCTTAAAATCCTCAACAACAACAACAAAAATCAAAGCAGATAATATAGCAGTCCTGTGGGATAATTTTTGATAACTCAGCTCATCTTAAAACCAAAATTATGAATCACTGACCAGATAGTCCTAAATGTGAAGATAAGCTGGAAGCCATGATTCAGGGCCAATTCGACAGTAACTAACTTCTTACAATTTTACACTCATCTTACAAATAAATTATATGACAAAGGTGACTTGCTTGGCCTCCCCTCTCAGGGGTAAATAGCTATTATAAGAATTAAAATCAAACCTTAGCATTTACCTTGCCCACAAAGTCGACTATGAATGTGCAGGCAAAATGACAAAAACTTGAAGATATTATCAACCGCCTACGGCAATGAGTTAATGGGCCTGGGGGCTCAGGACCATAGTCTCAGGGGATACCATGGTCAACTGGCATAACACAAAGACAATGTTCTATATCCTGCTTGAGTGAGTATCGTCTGGAATCTTGAACGCTCATGAGCAGCTGTCTAAGGTGCTGTGTAAGGTGCCTGGAATCAGTCCAATGGACTAATTGTTGTGATGTGCTATTGAGTTGGTACCGACTCAATGCACAGCAGAACGAAACACTGCCCAGTCCTGAGCCAACCTCACTATTGTTGACACACTTGAGCCCATTGATGCTGCCACTTTGCCAATCTGTCTTGCTGGGGGTCTTCCTCTTATTCTCTGACCCTCCACCTTACCAAACATGATATCCTTTCTCCAGAGACTAGTCCCTCCTGACAATATGTCCGAAGTATGAGAGATGAAGTTTGGCCATCCTGCCCTCCAAGAAGCACTCTGGCTGCACTTCTTCCAACACAGATCTGTTTGTTCTTTTGGCAGTCTATGGCACTTTCAATATTCTCCTGCAGCTCCATAACTCAAAAGCATCAATGCTTCTGTGGTCTGGTCTTCCTTATTCACTGTCCAGCTTTCACATGCATATGAGATTGTTGAAAATACCAAGGCTTGGGTCAGGCACACCTTAGTCCTCAAGCTGACATCTTTGCTCTTCATGTGAATATCAGTCTCCATGACTCTGAGATCAGAGGAATTAGACAGTGCCTGACTACTACTGTTAAAGTATAACTAACAGCTCCCATTTGAAATATTATAGTATAACTAACAACCCCCATTTGCCATTTGAAATATTATAGCATAGTTCAGCCTGCTCCTCCCTTCCCCCCTACCTCATCTTATGGAAAAATAATAAACTTCTTACAGAAAAACCTTGAAGGCCAGAATGACCCAAGGACACCTGAACAACCAGGATAAACCTTAGCCCATCCATACAACCAAGATAAGGGTCTCTTGGTGGGTTTACTCCCGCTTACGGGATAAGGGTCTGCTGGAATTTACTGCCCCAGCTGACAAGACAAGTGTGTTTGTTCTAACCGCTCTGTTTCTTGCATAAAACCCTGTTCCCCTTCTCACTTAGGGGTCAGAGTGATTTGGGCTTGAGCTGACACTCGGGCCGCCAGCAATACACTTTGCTCTTTAAGTTTTCCGAGTTGAGTTCTTTCTGACTGGCGCTGCCGCAACACTACCACTACCACTACCTACTGCCCTGATAGGGATCACATTAAAGGATCCCAGAGAGAGCGGGAGACCACATGGAACAAAACGCACAATTATTTTCATTTAAAAACATACACACACACACACACACAAAAAAAAAAAAAAAAAAAAACAGGTTTACTAGTCGGAAAGGGACTGGAAGAACCCGAGACTATAGCCCTCAGACACTCTTCAGGTCTGGAAAAGAGTTCACCCTCATGGCCCAATTTTCAGCCAAGCAGTAGATAGGTGTGGCGCTGTGGGCTAATGCACTGGACTGCAAAGTTGTTTGAGCTGCATGGTCAGTGGTTCAAGCTCACCAGTTGATCCTTGGAAACCCTATACAGGATCGCTATGGATCAGAACCGACTCAATGGCACTTAACAGGTATATGGGTGGGGTGGGGGGGACAACAGGACAACAGCACTAGTAAGGTGTGCTCACCATGGAATGGTCAATCATTCAAAATCAAAAGGGCAACATTTAGCTAAGGACAAAGCTGAGAAGGGATGGGAAGGTGGGTGGAAGGGAAACAGGAAGCACAGGGAGGAAGAATAACTTGTTGCAGGGAGAGGATTGCAGGCATTGAGATGAAACCAAGTGTAAGATTTGTTGACTGGAAAGCTGATCTTTATCTGTAAACCTTCACTCAATTCACAATAAAAAGTTTAAAAACAGGGAGAGAAAAGAATGAAAATCAGTCATCTTGGCTATTCAACCAGGAATAGATTATGCTCTGCTCCAGGTAAATGAGTCCTTAAGTACCGTGGAGTGCTTCAGACTCATAGTGGCCCTACACAAGGTTTCTGAGGCTGTAAATCTTTACTGGAGCAGACCACCTCATCTTTCTCCCACGGAACCTCTGGTAGTTTACAACTGCCAACCTTGAGGTCAGCGGTTCGAAACTACCAGCTTCTCTGCGGGAGAAAGATGAGGCTTTCTACTCCCGTAAAGATTTACACCCTCGGAAACCCTATACAGGGTCGCTATGGGTCGGAACCGACTCGATGGCACATAACAACAACAACAACAACCTTGAGGTTACCATCCCGATTCGTAACCACTATGCTACCAGAGCTCCTTCCTTGTTGTTAAGTGTCCTCAAACTGGTTCCAACTCACTGTGACCTTGAGATTAGAAGTCCAGTGATGATAAGTGCAAGGACATGAATTTATACAGCAACATGCTCTATCCTTTTATGAGTGTGCACTGTGGAATAATCAAAGGGGGCTGGTGGCACCGTGAGCTAAGCACTGGACTGCTAACTGCAAGGTCGGTGGCTCAAATCCACCAGCTGCTCCTCAGAGAAAGGTGAGGCTGTCTGTTCTGATAAAGATGTACAGTCTCAGAAACCCACAGAGCAGTTCTCTCCTCTGTCCTCTGGGGTCGCTCAGTGGGAACTGACTTGGTGCCAGTGGTGGGTTATTACCCTTAGAGTATAGAGGCTAAGACCAGACTCGGAGCCAGGTAATGGAGGTTCCAACCCTAGCACAACTGGGTGATGCTATTTTGTTGTTGTTGTTGTTAAGTGCCATCGGGTGATGCTATTAGGCAAGTTACTTAAACTCTGAGCCACATAATATTCTTATGAAGATCAAATCCTTAAGATCCGTATGCAGATTACTTAGAACAGTGACCAGCACACAGTTAGCACTAGTTCCTTGCCCACCAGTCGCTCGCTGGAAACCCTACACAGAGTTGCTATGAGTCTGAACCAACTCAATGGCACGTAACAACAACAGCAACTGCTAATATGCAAAAAATACTTTGATGTTCAAAGCAAACAGCAGCCAGTTCTAGTACAATCAACTAGCTCACGGTATACTGGAGCAGGCATCATGCCCCAAAGCTTTGTTGTTGTAAAGAGCCCAGGATAAGCACTGGACTGCTAACCTCCAGGTTGATGATTCTAACCCACCAGTCCTTCTTTGAAAAACCTATACAGGATTGCTAAGAATCTGAACCAGCTCAGTGGGCACAGAACAACTACGAGCTCAACACTTAGGAGCCAAGGAGACCTGGGTTAGTCAGCACTCCTGTGTGCCCCAGGGCATGTCTGTTAAACTCTCTGAAGCTCCGGAGTTCTGGCTAGTAACAGGCTAACAACCAAACTCCAAACTGCAGCTGTGGCACTGTGGGTTCATGCACCAGACTACAAAGTCGTTTGAACCGCAAGGTTGGCGGTTCAAGCTCACCAGCATCACCTTGGAAACTCTATACAGGGTCTCCATGGGTCAGAACCGACTCAATGGCACTTCACAACAACAACAAACTGCAGCTGCTGGATGGTCTCCAGGGCTTAATTCAAGTACAGGTCCTAACAAGTTGTTAAGTGCTTTCAGTTCTGACTCACAGCCACCCTTTCTAGGGTTTCCAAGAAGCGGGTGGCGAGTTTGAACTGCCAAGCTTGGGGTTTAAACTGACCTTGTGGTCCGGTGCTTATCCTAGTGTCCCCACCAGGGCCCCTTAGTGCAGGCCATTATTGTCAGGGATCATGCAAGGGTGGTTTAACCCTTTCAACAGCATCAAGAGGGAGGCTTAAAACAACAACAAAACAGCTGCATGGACTGGTTTCTGATTCACGGTGACGCCATATGCGTCACAGCGGAACTTTGCTCCACAGGCCTTTCAATGGCTGGATTTCCAGTAGATTGCCAGACCTTTTTTCCCAGGAGCCTCTGGATGGACTCTAACCTCTAACCTTTTGGTTAGCAGCCTAGCACACTGCTGATTGGCACCACCTGGGGACTCCAGGAGGTAGTTAAAAACCAAAACCCTGGTGCTGTGGGTTAATGCGGCAGACTGCAAAGCCATTTTGAACCTCAAAATCGGTGGTTCAAGCTCACCAGTCGCTCCTTGAAAACCCTATACAGGGTCGTTATGTGTCGGAACCAACTCGACAGCACTTAACAACAAATCCAGTTGATTCTGACTCACAGCGACCCTACAGGGCAGAGTAGAACTCTCCTTGAGACTTTCAAATTTTTATTTTATCCTTGGGGTTTCCAAATTTTTATGGAAGCAGATTGCCATGTCTTTCTTCCTAGGGGATGGCGGGTGGGTTTCAATCACCGACCTTGAGGCTAGCAGCCCAAAGCCTAACCCACAGCACCAGTTCAGTTTTGCACAAAAAGGCAGAAGATCAGAGAGGTTAAGTAAACTGTTCAAGGCCACACAGCTCGTAAATAAATAGCCCAGTCTCAGAAACTGAGTTAGAATCTAGGGCAGATTCCACAATTCCTAATATGTCTCCTGCTGTGAACTTCGAACCACAAGGTCAGTAGTTCAAACCCCACACAGGTTCCCTAGGAGTTGGAACCAACTTGCCGGCACTTAACAACACTATGAAACCGAATCCTTTCTTTTTTTTTACCAATTGTGTTCATCCAACAAATTATTGAGAACGTCCTACATGCCAGGCACTGAGCTATGTGCTGGAGTTACACCGGGAAACTCCTGTTTTTTAGTAAGAGAGACAATCAACAGGTAATCAAGTAACTGCTAAAATAGTAATAATAATAATAAAGCAGGCAAAGTCATTGTAACTCATGGGGGGGGGGTATCTATTTCAGCAAGCACCATGGGGGAGGCAGCTTGGCTTGTTTTAAGAAACAATAGCAAAAAACGAGGCTGGAGACAAGACTAGAGGCTGGTTATTGTTTAATAGCCTTGAAGATAAGGACGAGTGGCATCTTTCCATCCCCAGAGCATCAAAGAGCGTGAGCTCCTGATTAGAGCGTATCTGAATTTCAGGCCTGGCTACATCTGGGCTACGGGAAAAGGACCTAGTAACGTTCAATGGGGGCAGTGCGCAGTCCCACCGAAATCAACGATTCTATTTACTGCGCGAAATGGAAATTCCAGTACTTACACCTCCTCTCCTAGCTCTTCCCAGCGCAGGCCCTCCACAGGGGCGCCCGGAGGACTTCACTACCACACCCCAAACCTACAAACCCCCACCCCCACCCCGCCCGATCACTTCCGAATTGGCAAGGGCTCCGGCCCTCCCTCCTCCCTCGGGAGGCTCCCCCTCTTCCCGGTCTCCCCTCCCACGATGGCACAGACCAGCCAAACGCCATTGCCACCCTCTTGCCCCACGCAGCCCTAGTTCCCAGGGCTCTCAGAATTAAGGAACAACCCTAAACCCGCCATTCCGTCCCCCCTTCCGCCCTCGTGTGACGTAAAGGCCGCCCGGAGGGTTCCCCGGGCCACCCGGGCCCTCGCCCGCATAGCGGGCCCTCACGATAGGGAGCGGCCGCTACCGGGCACCGGCCGAGCTGCTCACCACGACGCTGGGACTGCGGGTCGCCATAGCAGAGCCGTCCGGGGCGAGCTGAGGGAGGCCAAACGGTAGAAAGCCAGCTGAGGAGAGAGGAAGAGAAGGAGGAGGGGACCACTGCGCGCGCGCGAAGACCCAGGGAGCGCGCAAACACCGCCCAGGCGGTGGCGCCAGGCCCCGCCCCCGGGCCGCTGGCCCCCTCACAGAGCTCGAGGAGCGCGTGCTTCTGCCGGCAGCCCTAGGTCCCGCTGCACGTGGCTGCCGTCCGCGCGCCTCCCGGCCCCCGCCCGAGCGCAGCCTTGATTGCACTTTCGCTTGGTGCTGGATTCTGAAGGCTTCCAAAATCTCCACCCTCCCGCCGCCTGTGTTTCTTCGTAAACAGGGCGTTGGCTCTGCAGGTTCCAGTCTCCACGTGGTTCCTCTCCGGGTTTTGCACCACATTTCGGCTTCCATATTCCAGACTTCCCAGTGCTTCCAAAATTAGGACCCCGAGCCCTAGAGTTAGGGAGATTAGGGTGCAAATAACGGGGTGGGGACTGGGGGGGGCACTTCTCTGTAACCTTGTCCAAATTACGTAAGACTCAGGGCTTCTCTTTTCTCAGCACATTGAGGATATTGTTAACATTAAGAAAACTAGAAATTCTACTTAATTCAACATTTGAGATACACTGTTGTTGTTAAGTACCGTGGAGTCGGTTCCGACTCATAGTGACACTGCACAGAGTTTCCGAGGCTGCAAATCTTTACGGGAGCAGAAAGTCTCACCTTTCTCCCACGGAACATAGTTCTACAGTAATACATACATTTGTTGTTAAGTACCATCAAGTCGGTTCCTACTCATGGAGGCCCACAGCACTAGAGGTTTTTAAAAAAATGTTCTGATTAAGTGTTTGGAGCTATAACCCAAACCATGGTATTTTCAGTAACCTCATATGCATGTGAAAGCTGGACAGTGAATAAGGAAGACCGTAGAAGAATTGATGCTTTTGAGTTACGGTGTTGGAGGAGAATATTGTTAAGTGTCAGAGGCTACCAAAAGAACCAACAGATCTGTGTTGGAAGAAGTGCAGCCGGAGTGCTCCTTGGAGGCCAGGATGGCCAAACTTCATCTCTCATACTTCGGACATATTGTCAGGAGGGACCAGTCGCTGGAGAAGGATATCATGTTTAGTAAGGTGGAGGGGTCAGAGAAAAAGAGGAAGACCCCCTGCGAGATGGATTGGCCAAATGGCAGCATGGATGCACTCAAGCGTGGCAACCATTGTGAAGTTGGCCAGGACCGGGCAATGTTTCGTTCTGTTGTGCATAGGGTTGCTATGAGTTGGTAACGACTTGATGGCACCTAACAACAACAACAAATGGAGCTATAATGTACAGGCCTACCTTGGTGATAAGGTACTCTGGTAGCGCAGTGGTTATGAGTCGGATAGTGAACTGCAAGGTCAGCAGTTCGAAACTACCAGCTGTTCCGCGGGAGAAAGATGAGGCTTTCTGCTCTCGTAAAGATTTACAGTCTCGGTGTACAGGGTCGCTATGGGTCAGAACCGACTCCACACACATAACCACCACCACCTTGGTGATATTGTGGGTTTGGTTCCAAACCACCACAATAAACCTAATATTGCAAAAAAAAAGAAAGAATTTTTTTTTCTTTGTGTTTTCCAATGCATGTGAAAGTATTAAGTGCAGTAGCATTCTGAAAAAGTTTAATATATTGGAATTAGAAACGCTGTGTGCCTGTGGGCAAGAGGCTGGCTTGATAAGTATTTTCTGTATATTAAAAAAAAAAAAAAGGAATAGGGGTAAATACTGTTAACCGATGGTACATGGAGGGGATTGTAATCATTGCAGTGAAACAAAATATGATTGGTTGAGTGTGAAACTGAAGAGCTGCCCTGTAAACTATCACTCAATTCACAATAAAAGCTTAAAAAAAAAAAAAAGTTTAATATATTGTGAAAATGACCAAAGTGGTCACAAAGTGAACACGTTTTTGGAAAAATGGCTCCCAAAGACTAGGCTCATGTTTATAAACAAAATGCAATATCTCTGAAGCACAGCTGTGGAATAATGCACTGGACCTCAAGTTCCATTTGGAGAGCAACGTCAACTGTTCAAATCCACCAGCTGCTCCTTGGAAACCCTATACAGGGTCGCTGTGAGTCAGAGCCGACTCCAAGGCACTTAACAACAACAACAAAATGATGTATGCACGCTCAGTAAATGAGAACTATCATTATTACTGGGAGCTCGGTGGAAAAATATAAGGCTTTCTGCTCCCACAAAGATTTAAAGCCTCGGAAACCCTAGACAGAGTTTCTATGGGTCAGAACCAACTTGATGGTACTCAACAACAACAATTCCTATATGGAACTTACAAAAAAAATTCCCTACTGACTCAAACAGGTAAGCAGAGCCATTCCAGAGATGCCTATTCCTGCTGTAGGCATTCGTGAAGAGTGCCAGCAGTTACCACTGTGCCCAGCATGTAGTTGGTGGCCCCCTTTTTATTAAAGACATAGAGAGATGTGAGGGATATGTAAGAGATTTGTGAACCTGGGCAAGTCATTGGACTACTCTGAGCCTCAGGCTCCTCATCTAAAAAATGAAAATAATAATTCCTACCATGAAGGGTTAAGGAGTTCTGGTAGCATAGTGGTTACGGATCGGGCTCCTAACCTCAGGGTCAGCAGTTCGAAACTACCAGCTGTTCCGTGGGAGAAAGATGAGGCTTTCTGCTCCCATGAAAATTTACAGCCTTGGAAACCCTGTACCGAGTCGCTATGAGTTGGCACATAGCCACCACCACCACCACCACCACCATGAAGGGTTATTATGAGAATTTGGCGAATCACAGCACCTAACAAACATAGCATTTGCCATATAGTGGCAAGAGCTCTAGAAATAGTAGAATTTTAGTTAAAATTCTGGCATGTATGAAATCCACACTTCCCTGCTCTTCTGTATCCCCTACCTATCATGGGGAGGCAGCTAGTTATAATGGAAAAGATATTGGACTTTAGACTGAAAAAGATCTGAGTTCAAATTCTGATTTTATCAATTACTACCATTATGCCCCTGTAGAATCAACACTAGACTGCAAACCACAAGGTCAGCAGTTCAAACCCACCAGCTGCTCCACGGAAACCCTATACAGGGTCACTGTAAGTCAGAACTGAATTGACAGCACGTAACAACAACAACAACTATTATGACATAGCCAAGACCCTCTATGTGCCTCAGTTTCTTCATATGTCAAATGAGAATAATATCTTTCACAGGGTGTGATAAGAATTAAACTAAATCATATTTGCAAAAGCGGTTAGCTTAATGCTTGGTTCAATAATAATACCAATGTTACATGACTCATAATTTTGTTTTAAACAGTTTTTCACCCTATCATTCCAGCCTCTAGAATTTCTATTCCCTTATCGATGGGCATTTGGGCAGATTTGGGCTGTCTGGTAGCATAATGGTTATGACTCGGGCTGTGAACCGCAAGGTGAGCAGTTCGAAACTATCAGCTGTTCCATGGGAGAAAGATGAGGCTTTCTGCTTCCGTAAAGATTTACAGCTTCGGAAACCCTGTACAGGGTCGCTATGAGTCGGAACCGACTTCACAGCACATAACCACCACCACCATGATGAACATGTGAGTGCATTCTGTTTAGTATAGGCACTGAATTTGAAATTTTGTTGTTAAGTGCCATAGAATCGGTTCCGACCCCGCCGACCTTGCAGTTCAAACGGCTTTGCAGTCTGGCCCATTAATCCACAGCGCCACACAAGGACTCCATTACTGATTGTTGTTGTTGTTGTCATGTGCCATCGAGTCGGAACCGACTCATAGCGACCCCATGCACAGCAGAACGAAACAATGTTCGATCCTGGGCCAACCTCACTACCGCTGCCACACTTGAGTCCATCAATGATGCCACCTGGCTGATCCATCTCGTTGGGGGTCTTCCTCTTTTTCTCTGACCCTCCACCCTACCCAGCATGACATCCTTCTCCAGCGACTGTTTCCTCCGGACAATATGTCCAAAGTATGAGAGACGAAGCTTAGCCATCCTGGCCTCCAAGGAGCACTCTGGCTGCACCTCTTCCAAAACAGATCTATTGGTTCTTTTGGCAGTCCATGGCACTTTCAGTATTCTTCTCCAACACCACAACTCAAAGGCATCAATTCTTCTACGATCCTCCTTATTCACTGTCCAGCTTTCACATCCATATGAGGCTATTGAAAACACAATGGCCTGGGTCAGGCACATCCTAGTCTTCAAGCTGACATCTCTGCTCTTCAACACTTTAAAAAGTTCCTGTGCAGTAGATTTGCCCAGTGCAATACGTCGTCTGATCTCTTGACTGCTACTTCCGTGAGTGTTGATAGTTGATCCAAGAAGAATGAAGTCCTTGACAACTTCAATCTTTTCTCCATTGATAAGAATGTTGTTTATTGGTCCAGTGGTGAGGATCTTTGTTTTCTTGACATTGAGATGCAATCCATATCGAAGGCTGTGCTCTTTAATCTTCATAAGTAAATGTTTCAAGTCCTCTTCACTTTCAGCGATTACTGATTACTATTACTGAAAATAATTTTGTCCGATAGAGGCGAGGGATGTTAAAAATATCTAAATATTATTGCATGAGGTCTTCTTTAAAACCAAACAGTTCTTGTTGTTAAGTGCCATTGAGTCGTTTCCAACTCATAGTGATCCTGTATAGGATTTCCGAGGAGCGGTTGGTGGGTTCGAACTGCCGACCTTTTGGGTCACAGTCCAATGCTGATCCTAGAGCGCCACACGAGATCTCCAAACCAAAACAATGGTGGTGGTGGCTGTGCACCGTGGAGTTGGTTCCGACTCATAGTGGCCCTGTACAGGGTTTCCGAGGCTATAAATCTTTACGGGAGCAGAACGCCGTATCTTTCTCCCACAAAACAGCTGGTATTGTCATTTGACTACCGTGGCTGTGTTGTAGGTTTTGAGATTGGGAAGTGAGAGGCCTCCTACTTTGTTCTTTTTTAATAATGCTTTGCTTATCTGGCA